TACTCTATCCAGCAAGGCTATCATTCAAAATAGATAGTGAAATAAAGAGCTTCCCAGACAAAAAAAAGGCTAAAGGAGTTGATCACCACCAAGCCAGCATTGCAACAAATGTTAAAGGGACTGCTGTAATAAGTAGCAATAGAGAAAGAGAAACATAGGTATAAAGAATTAAAATGGCAAAAGATAAGTACCTATCAATAATAACCTTAAATGTAAATGGGTTAAATGCTCTAATCAATAGACATGGGATAGCTGAATGGATAAGAAAATATGACCCAAATATGTGCTGTCTACCAGAGACACACCTCAGAACAAAAGACTCACGCAGACTGAGAAAAAAACTTCTGGAGGACTTTAAGGGAAAGATTGACAGCAATACAGTCATAGTACAAGACTTTAACACCCCACTGACTTCACTGGATAGATCTTCCAGACAAAAAATCAACAAGGAAACAGTGACTCTAAATGACACACTAGATCAGATGGATTTAGTTGACATTTACAGATCATTTCACACCAATGCTGCAAAATTTACATTCTCTTCAAGTGCACATGAGACACTCTCAAAGACAGACCACATGTTAGGACACAAAACAAGTCTCTACAAGTTCAAGAAGATTGAAATCATATCAAGCATCTTCTGGGACATTTATCCCATAGGATACTATGCAACTGTAAAAAAGAAGGATCCCTTATCCTTTAAGACAACATGGTGGGACCTGGAGAGTATTACGCTAACTGAAATAAGCCAGTCAGAGAAAGACAAATATCACATGATCTCACTCATATGTGGAATCTAATGAACAAAATAAACCAAGGAACAAAATAGATCCAGAGACACAGAAGCATGGAACAGACTGATGAATCTCACAGGGACGGCAGGGATGGGTGGGGAGAGATTAACCTAAGAACTTACATGCATATATGCATAACCCATGGACACAGACAATAGTGTGGTGAAGGCCTGGAGGTGGGGTGCATGGTGGAGGTGATCAATGAGTGCAAAAAAGGGACATCTGTAATACTTTCAACAATAAAGATAAATTAAAACATTTTTTAAAATTACACAGAACAAACACACACACACATTGACACAAAAACACAAAACCTGGGGAGATCTAAATAAGACTTATGGACTATGTCAATGTCAAGATCTGGTTCTAATAATCTAGCTATTCTATCGGAAGATGTTACCATGGAAAAACTATGGAAACGGTACATGTGGTCTTTCTATATTATTTCTTGCAACTGCATGTGAATCTATAATTATTTTATAATAAAGATCTTAAAAATATCTTTTTACAAAATAATGTGTAAGGGGAAGGAAAAAGGGAGATAAAGCCTCTTGGTCCATGGGCATCCTGGATGACAGTGAGTACCTGGATATCTACTTCATAAGCTAGAATTCCAAGGTAGAGTCTGTTTTGTGAGTAGCCCTAACTGGAAATTGATGTAAGATAGAGGCCTGGAGCTGATAAGGATTCTGTGTTCTAGCTCCTAAAGCAGGGGGCTCATTCATTCAATAAAGAGGTGAGATTAGGCCCTGGCTGGTGTATCTCAGTGGTTAGAGCATTGGCCTGTGCACCAAAGGGTCACAGGTTCAATTCCCAGTCAGGGGCATGTACCTGGGTTGCAGGTTCAATCCCCGGACAAGGTCGCAGCACGTGAGGGAGGCAACCAATTGATGTGTCTCTCTCACATTGATGTCTCTTCCTCTCTTTCTCCTTCCCCCTCTTCCTTCTTTCCCTTTCTCTCTCTCTAAAAAAATCAATGAGAAAAAAAAAAAAATCCTCAGGTGAGGATTAACAACAACAACAAAAAGAGGCGAGATTAGGATGTCCTTCCATAGGATTGGGATGTGTTCTCTAATCATAACAGCTGTTTTGGGTGATGTCAAGAGAACAATTCAAACGTGCTTTTTGTCTTTTTCTTTTTTTATCCTCACCCGAGGACATGCTTAGAGAGAGGAAGGGAAGGAGGAAGGAGGGAGGGTGAGAAAAAGAGAGAGACATCAATGTACGTGGATCGAACCTGCAACCCAGGCATGTGCTCTGACTGGGACTCAAACCCAGCACTCTTTGGTGCATGACACTTAACCAACAAAGCCATTCTGGCCGACCAAACCTGCTTTTTTAAGGGGTGGGGGAAAGGGCCATGGTAAAAATGGCATCTCAAGGACCCTATAGTAGAAGCACCCAGAGAAAGTCAAGAATCCACAGCAAGTGTGCATCTTGTTGGAGTAGCCCAGAGCTCCTCCCTGATCCACAATACATCCCCGATTCAAAACCAGAGGGGAAAAAACTGGTTGGGAAAAATGCTGGATACATATAGGGATCTTGTACTGTTAGGGAAGAAACATGGGCTGTGTGGGAGAAAAGAATACTATCCCCCCACACACACTTGATATGTGTGCTATCTGTTTCTTCTCTTACTTTCCTTTGCATTCTTAATCTGCTTATTGACTTTTTTCTCAATTGCTTCTCTCTTGTTTACCTGTTTCCTAACTCATTATTTCCATCCTTCCTCTTGCTAAAAGGCTCTCTCCCTGCATCTTCTTTACATCACACTAACTAAGCTGGACAGAAATTACAAAGGGGAAGAGGTACTCATAGAATCATGGATGCCTAAAACATTTACGCTAGACAAGTAGGTGGATATCAGAGTCTAACATCACAGGAAAAGTGAAGTACAGAGAAGGAAAATAACTTGTGTAAGTCACTGAGGGGATTTTTGCCTAGGCTAGAATTTAAACCTGGGACCTACTGGGATAAGTTCTTCAGTTTTCAACAGACAGAAGCTCAGCCTGGAGAAAAAAAATTTCTGCTGCAGCCAATGAAAACATGGTAATATTAATGAGAGGAATAGTAAGAGAAATGGTCTATGCTATATTGCCAACAACAGTTATCAAGTAGCTATGAACCAGTTATAAACTAACCTGGAGGTTTTGTGGTACAGTTTGGGTTGAAGGAAAAATCCATAGGCTAAATTTGTAAGAGGCAACTCTTCTTGATTACTGTGAATTATTTTGTTTTGTTTTCTCTTTTCTGATGCCATTTACAGCCCCTTTCTTCTTGCTGCTCTTGCCAACCTTGACACCAATACAAACTAAGTTCTTTCAAGATTCTAAATCTCAAATTTGCAAAGTACAACTGAAGGTATCCCAGAGTAAGTGTATGAAAGAAAATACAAAGAGATCAAAGAAAATACAGCATTGCAGTTTTCTGTATTTCCTGTGTTTCTTTCTTACTATTGTTAAAATATATTTTGCTGGGAGATAGTTCAACTAATTTGTATTACTCTGGAATACAGATGCTTAGAGAAACAGCTTAACTGTAAGGCCAGTGGCTGGTATCCTTAGAGTTACAATTGTAAAGGATTTCTGAGGCTGGGCTCCCTGAAACACAACTTGTGGTGATTGGAAGTGTTTCTGTCATAACAACAGGCATTTCCTCCTCACAAAGTAGGGATTATTTCTCCGCCTTCACAAAACAATGTAGAACATCTGCCTGGCTTTAGATCTGGAGTTACTAGAGATACTCTCAAGACAGAGGAAGATTTTTAAAACTGAATCTTTGAATTCTCACATGGAAGTGGAAAATACTAGGTACTGCGCTCTGCCAGCATATCAGTCAGTGCATCAGAATTTATGCTGCTTGAAAGCAAAGAATAAGAGAGAATGGAAAACTGAGCATTGGCTGTGTAGGCTTGGTGTCCATGACGTACACTATGAGGCTATTCTTAAGGTAACTAGAAATCAGGCACAAGGAAGAAAAGAAATAGCACGAATGAGAGGAAGCTCTGAGACTACGTTAATCCTTTGTAGGTGTGTAGAAACCAAAAATGTCCAGTTATGACTTGTTAGACAAAGGTACATGTGTATGAGAGAAATGGAAATTTAGAATTTCAAATAGAAAATACATAAAGCTATGAATTTTATAAAACCTGTTCTTTGGTAAAAAAGAGTGGGGAACATTTCGTTGCAACACGATTATATAAACTTACTTTGACTTAATATGGCATCTAGAGATGTAGCTACTGCTTTCTGAGGGAAAACTCCAAACAGCTTTCCTTTTGAGCATATTTAGAAGAGTGACTCATGTGGAAATAGGTTCAGCTAGTTGTTTCCTTGAACTCAGTTAATTATTATTCAAACTCCTAGTCCCCTCCCCCTTCTTGCCAGGAAGCCATAATACATGTTGACTTAAGAATGTCTAACCCTGTACAGAATTTTTGTAAGAGTTATTTGAGCCCTAGCCAGTTTTGCTAAAAAAAAATTTATTTGAGCCAAAACTGACAATTGTTGGGAAGCAATATCTTAAATGTCCCTGTGAATTATTTTGTTTTGTTTTGAATCCTCACCCAAGGATATTTTTTCTATTGCTTTTCAGGGAGAAAAAGGGAGAGAGAGATTGAAACATTGATGTGAGAGAGACACATTGACTGGTTGCCTTCCACTGGAGCCTCAACCCAGGCCAGGGATCAAGCCTGCAACTGAGGTACGTGCCCTTGGCTGGAACTGAACCTGGGACCCTTCAGTCTGAGGTCCAACACTCTAACCACTGAGCCAAACTGACCAGGGCCCGTGAATTATTTTAAAGGCACCTGCATCCCTCCCTCGGAGAGTAATGTTATACTATAAATGCTCTAGAGAGAAACTGCCTAAATGAAAGGACCAGAGCTCACTCTGAGGACAAGAATAGAGAGTCCTTTTGTTTTTTTCCTAAAAATGCCTGCATTTCAGGAAAATACTTTAAAAATGTGTCCATTATTACAGGGTTCCCCTTTTGGTACCAATGACCATCAGAAATTTCAGAGCATAGGATACTGGCAACAAGTACCAAAGCAGGAGGTGCCGCTTTCTGGAGGAGAGAAATCATCATCTAAGTGAGACTGATGCTCCCTAACTCCGGAAATCTCGGTTAAGGAAGTGAGGTATGGAAGGAGCTGTTGCCAGCCCATGCTAGAGCATCCTGATTGGCCCAAATCTTATTTCTACTTACATAGAACAGTGGAAAGTGCCAACAGGGTTCTCACGACGAATGTCTTCATACTCTTCATATATTCCCTGCTTTTGCCTGGTGCTAACATAATTCATCAGCTCTTGGATAGTCATGGCGTGGGGACCTGGAACATGCACTGAGTCCCAGTCTAAAGCAGGAGGGAGGGAGAACAGGATGATCTCATCGAAGGGATCCGGGTGGCCATTCATCTGGGGTAGGAACTGGAAATTCCAAGTGGTGAGGTCCATTTTGATGTACCCACCCAGGTTTTCTGGAAGGCACTCTCTGGGCAGGTGCTGGATGACCTCAGATGTCTTCAATATCTGAATCTGGAAGCCCAGAAAGAACCATGTGAGTTTGTGGGGTGGGGAGACAAATAGTGAAGATACAGAACAAATGTGCTTTGGGGACGTAAAGTACAGCACAGGGAATACAGTCAATAATATTGTAATTATGTATGGTGCCAGGTCAGTACTTGAAATATTAGAGGGATCACACTGTAAATTATATGATTGTCTAACCACTATGCTCTACACCTAAAACTAATATAAAGTAATATTAGGTTTGGAGAACAGGAGATTTACTTGCAATACTTGGTATAATTGTAAAAGTAGACTATGCTTCATCTGCTGGAATTGAAGTCCTATGAATTTCCCAATGCACAGCAAATTCCCAAAATATGTATCAAATTCACTCCTGAAATTAGGGGCTCTATTATATACCTTTTAAAAGGAAGGTACAGCCCAGCCAGGTGTGGCCCAGCAGTTGAGCATCGACCTAGGATCCAGGAGATCATGGTTTGATTCCCTGTCAGGGCACATGCCCAAGTTGCAGGCTTGATCCCCAGTCGGGAGCATGCAGGAGGCAGCCAATCAATGATTCCCTCATCATCGATGTTTCTATCTCTCTCTCCCTCCCTCTCCTTCCTCTCTCTGAAGTCAATAAAAAGATATTAAAAATAATAATAAATTTTAAAAAATAAAAGGAAGGTATAGTGAACAAAGGCGTTATTTTGTACTATTAACAGGGCTTCCCAGTAACATCTGCTGTGGGTATTTGTCTTTTGAGTATGAAGAATGTAAACTTTATACTAAGCCTGTTATCATTTGCTTTAGTCATAGCTTGGTATGTATGTTCTCAAAGATATGTTTCTATGAAAAACAAGACAAGCTACCCAAATGCAGGGTAGCCCAGGAAAAATGCTAGAGAAGTCATCATAATTCCTAATTCTGCTCTCTGCTTGGGACACAGCCATATTGGACCATATTAGTCTAGTTGGTTGTTCTTGAAACTCGTGTGGAATGAAGGTGCTGTTCTCTCTTGCTGTTGCCTCTTCCTGGAATGCCCCCTTTCCCTCCTTAGCCTCTTCAAAGACAGCTTATATCTCGTGAATCCCATCTGTCCAGGCAATGTTCTCCTCCATGCTCCTTCAGAGCCACAGTCCTCTCTCTGCACTTGTCTCTCTCTGTGTCCCCTACCGGGACCATGAACTCCTCCAGGTTAAGGACCATCTTGATCAATTTTTCATTCCCAGGGCCCAGAGCCTGGACTATAAAGGTGCTCAATATATTTTGAGTTTATACATGCATTTATGCTTGTATATAAAAGTGCAAGAACTTGCCTAAGGAGTCTTCTCAGAGTTACCTTAGGCAAGATCTCCCCTACTCTGAGTCACTAGGGCCCCAAGTAGTTCCACAGAACCAAATTAGTTTCCCCACGCCAACTCAAGTCACCTCAGCTATAAAGATCTGCATTGTTATTATTCTTATAAGCTCATAATCCTATACTACAAAAATATGATAATATTTCACAACTATATTATCTTAAATCCAATTGTGTCAATGTTTCATACGCCCTTTCTTTCAAGGGTAGAAATGAATGGGTGAATGAATAAAACCATAATCTTTCAGTCCTGGAACACTCAGGGAATGATAATAGAATTAAGATAATTTTATTTTTTATTTATTTTTTAATCCTCACCTGAGGATATTTTTTACATTGTTTTTCAGAGAGAGTAGAGGTGGGGGGGAGAGAAAGAGAGAGAGAAACATAGATGTGAGAGAGATACATTGACTGGTTGCCTCCAGCACCCACCCTGACTGGGCCAGGGATTGAGCCTGCAACCCAGGTACATGCCCTTGGCCAGAATCAAACCCGGGACCCTTCAGTCCGAGGGCCTTCGCTCTAAGGACTGAACCAAACCAGCTAGGGTGAATTTAGATAATTTTAGATACCACTTTTGAAATTAGAAAGCAACAAGCTGTTTTAAGAGAAAATAACAGGAATTTTAGAAAGAGACATAGTGAGAGACTCTCCTCTGCTCCCCGGTGATCAAAGGACTAAATGGTATTTCCAGTTGAACAAATTCAAACACCAGTTCAACTAATGCAATTATGTTAGACGTTGTTAAATATTAAAGGCCTGTATAGCACTAGGCTAAATTTTGGTACTAGCTATATCTAAGTTACCCATGGGACACATTCCTTCAGTACTATTTTTATGCAAAATGCTATGATGAGACAGTGCTCGACATAAACTCTGTCTAGTTCCTAACTTCAAGGAACTTGTAGTGCAGTAGGAGAGCCAACCTGTACTAAGCTGAGAAAGAGTAACACAGAGAATACACATGAATACACTGACAGAAGCAGAAAGCACTCTAGGAAACAAGACAGCAGAAAATTGGCAGGTATCAAGAGCAGAGATGGGAATCTGTCTATCCATCCCCAAATAAAATAAAGCTAGCTTGCCTTACCCTCTCCCGGACTTTGTCCTTCAGGAGGAGGCTGATGATGGAATACGGCACTCGGAACCATAGGGGTGCTCCCACAATCAGCACTTTCTTCAAGCGAGCTGGAAATGCTCCCTGTGGAGAACACATATGAGGATTTCAAGATACCAATCAGGGCACTGCAACAGAGGCAAATGGAACATGTGACTATTCAAACCCAGGTTTTCTGCTCTTCTCCCCGTTCTTACCCAGCGGAGGGAGTCTACAGCTAAATTCAAGTTTCATTTGAGTAGCTGAAGAAAAAGTGGTTTAAAAGAAATTAAAAGCTGATTTACCTTTAAAAGTAATGATGTTATGTTCTTAAACACATAAACTCTGTGGATCAAAAACTATCCTGACTTTTCTTATCAGCATATATGTGTGCATCCTTAAGTTCTGCTTATTAAAATTTTAAGGAAATATTAGATCATGAATAAATTGAATATAAAAGAAACATTTCTCTCATAATTTTTATTTTATTCTGGTGTCAGTGTACTTATAATAATTTATTTTTTACAAGACTCTTCATATGTTTATGTATTCATTTACTTAATCAATAAATATGATCGAGGGGCCCCAGAGCAAATGAGGTCTAAAAGGAAAGGAGACACCCTGATCTGCGCAAAGCATAAGAAAGAAAAACAGTGAATTCCTAATCCCATATCTCTCAACTTCTTTTAGTTTCTCAATATTCCAGCCCTTCTCATTGGAAGGGTACCATGTAATATTAGCAGTCTAATCAAAAACAAGAGGAAACTGTAGCTAAATATCTTCTACCACTTTCTCCCTATTCTTTTTCAAAAGACTGAGTCTCAGTTTGACATCACTCTCTGGCTGCTCTTCAGTTCTACTAATTTTGGGGTCTGCAAACATTCCTGAAAGACGATATACAGCATCCAGAACAAAATTCTCCAAAGGCCTCTTCACTAAAGTTTGAGAAATTACCTTTCATCTCTTCTCTCAAAGATGCAACAACTTATTTCAAGGCCCCTTTAACTGCCAGATCAAAAACCAGTCTCAAGAAACATCTGTATTTCTACAAAATGATAAGTAGAAAGTAGAAGCCATTACCTCTGCTTCCTCAAAGCAAAGTGCTACAGACTCAGACTTAGTTCAGTAAATGACTTTTTGGCACCCAAATATACTGCTGGTGGGACAGTAAATTAGTAACACCTTCTAGAAGGCATCTGGCATTATATATGTCCTCAAAAATGTGTATATCCTTTGATCAGGTATTTCCATTTCTGAGACTCTATTCTAAGGAAATAATGAGAAACACAAAGATTTATAAAAAAAAAAAAAATGTTTACTATACATTTATTTATTTATTTTTTATGTTTTTCTCTTATTGATTTCTGACAGAGGGAGGGAGAAAGATAGAGACATAGAAACATCAATGATGAGAAAGAACCATCAGTTGGCTGCCTCCTGCACAACCCCCACTGGGGATCAAGCCCATAATCCAGGCATGTGCCCTAACCAGGAATCAAACCACGATCTCCAGGTTCAAGGGTAAATGCTCAACCGCTCAGCCATGCCAGCCATGCTATACTTTTATTTTTGATAGTTAAAAATAATACTTTAAAACTGTAAAGAACGTATGTCTGAAAATGGGTAGTGGTTAACAAAAATGGTTTATTTTTTAATAAGACTGTTATGTAACCACGAAAATGAAGATTTCAAAGATTTTTTTACAACTTTGGAAAATGTTCACAATATAATGTTAAACAAGATCAAAACTATAATCTTAATTTTGTTTAAAAAATTATGCACACAGCCTGGCCAGCGTGACTCAGTGGTTGAGAGTCAACCTATGAATCAGGAGGTCACAGTTCAATTCCTGGTCAGGGCACATGCCCGGGTTTCAGATTTAATCCCCAGTGGAGGGCATGCAGGAGAGCCTATCAATGACTTTCTCTCATCATTGATGTTTCTATCTCTCCCTCTTCCTTCCTCTCTCTGAAATCAATAAAAACATATTTTTAAAAAAATTACACACATACTTTCACAGAAAAAAAATTCTGAAGAATTATATAGAAGCTAAATACAGTTTGTCTCTGATAAGTGGGATCATGAGTAATTTTAATTCTTTTTATTTTATTTTCTATAATATTTTGTATTACTTTTATTTTTTACAACCTTATTTAAAATGTTTAGTCTTCGTTCCAGTAATTCTACTCCTAGAAATTCACTTCAAGCAAATTACTTAATGTGCAAACAAAAATATGGATATAAAAATGTTTGTTGAAAAACTGTTTATTATTAAAAAAAAATTTTAATTCAACAACATAGAAATGGTTAAGTAATTTATAGTAAACACAGTTTACACTATTATTCGGCAATTTATAAATGTTCATAAAATAAAGCTGATGAAGGTTACTGTATAAAAAAATTGTATAAACATAATTAGACTATACTGAAAAACTTCTAGAAAAAAGTGCCGAACACCAAAATGTCAACAGTCGTTATTTCTGCATGATAGTATCAAAGGTAATATTTTTTCTTAATGTATATTATTCTGAGTTGTCCAAAATTTTCTACAATAAAATTTTTCTAATTACAATGGTATTTTAAAGTATAAAAGATAAATATGAAGAAAATTAGCCACTTTATAAATAGTTATAAGCATAAAAGTATAATGGTAAGCCCTAGCCAGTTTGCTCCATGGTTAGAGCACTGGTCCTGGGACTGAAGGGTCCCAGATTCAATTCTGGCCAAGAGCAAGTACTTCGGTTGCAGGCTCAATCCCCTCGACCCCGGGCAGGTGCATTCAGGAGGCAACCAATTGATGGGTCCCTTTCACATCGATGTTTCTCCCCCCCCCTCCTCTCCCTCTCCCTTTCTCCCCTCTCCCTCCCTCCCTTCCAGTCTCTCTGAAAAGCAATGGAAAACATATCCTCTGGGGAATGGCACTGGGGTGGCTGAGGGAGGGGATCAGAGGCTTTTCCTTGAATTGCTTTTATAATTAAAATAACTAGTTATAAAGTTCACTTTAAGTATGTATGATTGATTATATGTGTATCAATAAAATCTTAAATAAAAGCACATGCAAGTGCATATGCAGAATATCTGTAAAAACAGTCAAAACAACTTTTAGAAAGAAAAGATTATGAGGAAGCTTATCCTACAAGATATTAAACTTTATCATAAGGCTACAATAAATAAAACAGTGCATATATTAGTCTACATGGCTAGATAAATAGAACAGAATAGGGAGTTCAGAAATAGACACACCGACCATATGGGAATTTAGCATAACATAAAAGCATTATCCCAAATGAGTAGGAAAAAATGTATTTATTAATAAGTGTTGCCATGACAGCTATTTGATAGCAAACTATTTTACCTACAATATTATGTATCATATGTAATATGATCTGTATTATTACATATACTATAGATAGTATAGCATATAAAAATTACAACGAAAAGTAAACAGTAGTATGACAATAGACACCGTAAGTTGAACAAATTATAAACTGCAAAATTGCTGGAAACACATACTTAATAATATTTTTAATAACAAGTTTTACAAATCAATAAGAAATACTTCAATAGAAAAATGGGTACAGCATATGAGAAAAAAATTTTTAAATAAATAATTATTGACAATAAATATCAAAATATGTTGAAGCTCATCAGTAATAAGAAAAACACCAAAACATGAATATGAATAAAACCTGAATAATATATCAATGTTGATGAGACTAGTGAAAAAAGTGTTGATAGAAGTGTACATGTGAAATATGCTTTTAGAGAGTTATTTGGCAATATTTATCAAAATTTCAGATATATATACTCTTTGACTCTACAAATTTACTTACAGCAATTTACTCTGAGGAAATGTTTGGTCAAATATACAAAAATATGCAAATGATGCTCACTGAAGCCTTTAGAAATAACACACAAATAGGTAAGCACCTCATTTTTTCTGCTTGGAATAACTGCAGCCATTTAAAAAAGTGAAGGAAAAAATGAGTAAGAGCTATATATACTGACATAGAAAGATGATGAAGATACACTGTTAAGTAAAAAACGGCAAGTTACAACCACCGGATATAATACCAATCCATATTTGTAAGGAAAAAATCATAAATTATCCTTATCCTCTGTGTGTATGTACACACATACTCTATTTTTTGATTTTTTAAATATGTTTTTATTTATTTCAGAGAGAGGGACAGAGAGAGATAGAAACATCAATGATGTGAGAGAATCATCAATTGGCTGCCTCCTGCATGCCCTCTATTGATTGAGCCCGAAACCTGGGCATGTGCCCTGACCAGGAATCAAACCTTGATCACCTGGATCATAAGTCGATGCTCAACCACTGAGCCATGCCAGCTGGGCCACACAAACATAGTTTAAAAGCCTGGACATATATATCCCAAGCTCTTTACACCAATAATATATAAGGTGTAGGATTGTAATATCTTAGCTCTGTCACTTAATAGGTTATATTACCTTCGTTAAGTTCTTAAATTCTCCGAGTCTAAGTTTCTAGATCTGTAAAATGGGGATAGTAATAGTAACAGCCATCACACCTCATAGTAGTGATGTCAGGATTGGATGAGTTTTAAAGCATGAAAAGAACTTAGAAGAGCATGGAAAGCATTCAGCAAGTATTAGTAATTATTACTTTATAAATAGCTGCATTAATGAATTTTTTAAACCTATATATTTTAGCCATGTGTTTCAACCATGCATTTCACAATCAGAAAAAGAAGTTTTATCCTTCAGGGGTGAAACCTATATTATCTCGTTTAAATGATTCATCTAAAACAATAATTAAAAGTTAAGAATCCATATAATAGCAACTAAAATAGAGGTTTATAACATTTTAAAATTTAAAACGAGAATTAATCCTAAGAAGTTTACCAAGATGGAGAAAATCTACTCAGAGCAATTTAAGAAGTCAAAGATTATTATTTTTATTTCAGTGTCATATTTTGATTCAAATCGTCATCACAGTAACCACTGGAAATTAATTCATACTAAATAGAAATCTGAAGTGTGAGACTGTTCATTAAAGATAAACTTCTACTTACAACTTTATTAAGAATAAGGATGGTAGGGGATTATATTTAAAACTGTAT